CATGGTCAGACGAGCATCTATACGTCTATCTGCTAGACGGCGCAGATTTAGGTGGTCCAACATTTCTGACACACTGGAGGTACGATGGTTGTACCTGTGCTTATTGAGCACATAGCGCGCTGCCCTTCGCTGGTCAATTTCCAACTTGTCAATATTTGTTTGGGTGTGAGGGTCCCATACTGTACAGGCATACTCAAGTGATGGTCGAACTTATGATTTGTATGCATGTACTTTGGCTGATGTTGAGCCAATTTTAACATTTCGTCTTAAAAAGCCTAGCGTAGAATTTGCTTTTGGGCAGATAGTATTTATATGTGAATCCAGTTTAAGGTCTGTGTTACACCCAGATACTTGTCATGACTAGGATGTTCCAGTATGTGTCCATGTAAAGTATAATTATGGACTATTGGAGATTTGTTTTTAGTCACCGACAACACATTTCATTTGTTTGGGTGGAAGATCATTTTCCATGTATTTTCACAGAGCGATAGTTTGTCAAGATCGTTTTGAAGTGTTTCAGCATCACTGTTTGACTTGAAAACTAGATATGCAATAGTGTCGTCTGCAAATAAACGGATTGTAGCATTTAGACCTACAAGGGTTATCGTTTATAAAGTAAAGAAATAAACTGGGTCCCAAAACTGACCCCTGGGGTAACCCGGAATGGACATCGACAAAATCAGACATCTCCCCTTCAACTACTACTTTCTGAGTTCTACCGGTCAGGAAACTCTCGATCCAGTTTGCGACATTTCCACGTATACCATAATGTTTTAGTTTATGGTTTAGGAGAGAATGACTGACCTTGTCGAAAGCCTTAGCAAAGTCCATTATGACGATATCTGTTTGGCGTCCCTCATCAAGATTCTTTGAGATGTCATCCACAAATTCAAGAAGTTGGGCGTCGCATGATCGCGATTTGCGAAAACCATGTTGGTACGGATACAATATGTTATGGGTATCGGCTTGGGTCATGATAGTTGAGACCACAATGTGTTCCATAATTTTGCTACAGATACAGGTCAGAGATATAGGCCTGTAGTTTTCTGGGTGAAATTTTGGACCCTGTTTATAAGCAGGTGATAAATTTGCAGATTTCCATTCTGAAGGCACTATGCCTGTTTCCAGAGACTGATTAAATATAAGGGTTAAAATCGGGGCTATTTCTGTTGCAAGCTCTTTTAGTACTCTGGGTTTGATGTCATCAGGGCCCGAGGCCTTGTATGGATTTAGGCCTTGGAGCAGTTTTTAGACACCCTTTTCATTTATAGAAATTTCAGGCATGGCAGGGTGTTTATCGTGAGTAGGCATGTTGCATCTAGTGCGAAACTGCTGGTCGGTAAAGATTTCAGGAGGAGTAAAAACAGATTGAAATTGTGCGTTTAGCACCTGATTGGGCCTTGGTGGTAGGGTCATAAACAAGTTTACCGTCCCTTTTCAGAGGAGCTATGCCACAATGGTCTGATCTTTTGGATTTTATATATGACCAAAACCGTCTTTTGCAGGAACATTTGTTTTCATTGGTTGTGTTTTCTGGGCTGATGATATTATCATTATGGCTCCAGTAAGATGTTCGGAGTTTTCTCTGTATGTGATGTTTCAGATTTTAATACTTATTTTTTTATTTCAGTGTCTCCTGATTTTTTTTATCGTTTGTACAATCTACTTCTTTTCCAGATAAGTTTCCTTATGGCAGGGGTAACCCAAGGTAGGCTGGGTTTTGTCTTAACTATCTTGTGGGGGATATGTTCTTTTATGAGTTTAGACAATTCAATTTTGAAATACTCCCATATTTTGTTTTTGTCCCACTCGCTATTTTCTTTCGTACAGTTGTACACGTTGATAAGCTAAGCTTTAATTGAATTCCAGTTTGAGTTTTTATATACTGGGATGGATCTTGGTTTTTGAGAATATTTTTTGTGGGGTAAGGTTCAACTCTGCATAGACTATGTCGTGGTGAGAGAGACCAGGGATAATTTCTGTTCGAATTATTTGGTTTGGGAAATTTGTAATGAGGAGATCAAGGATATTTTTATTTCTGGTGGGTTGATCGATTAGCTGGGTGAGTGCCGTGTCATCCAGTAAGTTGGCAAAATCATAGTGTATTTTTACATGATTTGTTTTGGGTTTGAGGACTTTATTTTTCCAGTCCCAGCCCGGGAGATTGAAGTCGCCACCTATAAGGAGGGCTGCATTATTAATTTTGGCGGCTTCTTTGATGGAATAGCTAAACAATCTCATACTGTTTTCGTCAGATGTTTTGGGATGATAGAAGGAGCAGATATAGAGTGTTTAACTAAACTAGCGGGTGAAGGGAATGCATATGCGTTTCAGCCCTATACTATTAGTAGCAGTGTATTAAACCGGTCATATGATTAGTTCAAGTATGGCTTAGAAGACATTGGTATACGACTGTATCATCTCCGGAACCGTTTTTAAAACGGCGACTTAAATACAGAACAATATGGCAACAACGGACACTTTCGTTGACCGAAAAAAGAAGAATATATATTGCGAGTACGGTTGGTTTGAGGTCTCCGCGTCCCTATGTCGGACATTCTACTCCTGCTTAACGCTCAGCAACTTAGGAGTGGGACGACTGGTTCGCTCGTTGTCAGTATATGTGACCGGGTGGGTTGTCCTGCTGGGTGTCTTCGGCAGTATGTTTCAGTGAGATAACACTATACAGTCGGCATCAGTTCCGCGCTATCACAAGGAGACAAACACGAACATATCGCTGCCTCCCAAAACACNAAACAATACTAAACCAAACCAAACCAAATCGGACCCCAACTTAACCAACAGTGACATGAACGTACTTTGCGATGGTGCCTTGCACATGCTGTAGATGTTTATCGCTTGGCAGAATTGTTATCAACAGATTTGCTAGGGTCATGGTAAAGAAGGTTCAGGCTGTGATTGCCGCACGTGACGTACATACGTGGTATTGTACTGACACAGTGATTGAAGATTGGTCACACTTGCTACGATATTCATTGCAACTCCGCTTTTGTCCAACACAACACAACTTTTCGGGAATCAAGCAGAAGAAATAACATTTACAGTAAAACAGAGAAACGTGAACTTTCTTGTAAATATATGTTTTTAAAAGATACTGTAAAAACGCATTTCATTTTGTCCGGTATCCCACTACAAGTAATCAGACGAAGCTAAAGAATGTGCCTGCTCTGTCCGCCGGTTAGAAAAAAATATGCATTTTGTGCAACGTTTAGAATGTCTTCCTTTTATTTTCTCTCTTTCCAACTTATTCTTCAGTGGAATGTTATCTGTAATTAGAACACTTTGACCAGAAATATACGTTTGCTTCCGTGTCCATGCTATGACATTCAGTTGAACTTAACCATCGTTCCCCAATCTTCAGTGGACACCGTCCTCATATGACAAATATTGCCCATTACGGAATATTCCGATACTATTGTTTAATAAACTGCTAAGAAACCTGCCCCTGTAATTTTCATAAAACAACGATTCAATACTTTCGCCCTGACAAATGCGACTTGTCTGAACATTTCAGCTATCGAGCTCTTCATCGAGCAGGGAATATAAAACAACGCCTCGCACGTATAACTCTCGCGAGAACATTGGAGATTTCATAGGGACAGACAGGTATTGTACGACGTCCTTGCGAATCAGCGTTTGCCAGAAATAGGTGTTACTTGTGTTCCCGCGGGGAATCCTCTACTTTTGTCTGTTGTAACACAGCCTTGGTATGCTAGCAAAGTAATCTATCTAAATCAAATCAGTGTTTAACTTATAAATGAGTTATCTGTTAACAAGGATTACAATCATGTTAACTTCGAGGAAGTGGACTCAAGTTACTTCATATAACAAAGCCTCAAATACTGTAACGAAACGTTTATTCGAACTCGACATTTACAAATAATTAACTCATTTTCCCCTATTAAATGTTTGCCGATGAAATGAAAATGATGCAGCATATTCATTCTTTTAAATTTGGAAGAAGATTGTTTTTGAGGTCATTAATAACATTCTTGTGAATTTGATATGTTTTTCTTTGGTTTAGATTTATAGGGTTTAACAGCAAAGGTAATTGAAGAAATGTAATATCTAGCGAGTGTTACTTTATGTACCATCAAATGACATCTGGAAAGGTTTAGCACATGTCAAAATATCAAGGGTGTGTTTCCAATTGAAAATATCTCGTGTTTGCTACCACATAACAATATTTAAATTGCGGTCACAATTATGTGACCACATGGCAGTATTAAGGATGTGTTACCACGCGACAGTTGCTTTATTGTTATACCCTCTAACGATCTCTGTGAAGGTTTACCACGTGACAACATGACGGGTTTGTTACCACTTGACAATATTAAGGGTGTGTCTCTGATTGATACACCCCCATGTTTGCTACATTATACAAATATTAATATTCTGTAACCAAAAGACAATGTTTAAAAAGCGTAACAACGTGGCCGTCTTTCTGTTTTTATTACAACCTGACAATATCTAGAGAGGGTTACATGTACTGGGCAATATTAAGGAAGAATGTTTTCCCGATTGAAAATATCTCATTTCAGGTCACATAAGCGTCTTATTTGAGCTAATGATATTAACTGTTAATTAACGCTAAACCCAATAAAACCATTTGATAGCTGAGGAGAATGTGACTCCACCTTAAGTTATCTTAGTATAAACGTTTGTAACCAAAACAATTAACAGTATATTTGGTAATGCTTTAAACATTTAAAAGCTATTAATTTTAGCAGTAGAATATTCTTCTGTTTTATACTGCAGTGTCAAGTCAGAGACAGTGTTCTCCTGAATCCAGCCGACTGTTTAACAAGGACATTGTGTAGGACGGGTGTACACTAGTGTAAAACAATTTGTCATTGGATGATACCGCACCAGTTAAACGATTTATTATTGGTCAAATCGCGCTACTTCAAATATCAAGGAATCCCTAAAAGTAAATTCATTTTCTCTTTAAATCCGTCACTCCCTGAAAACTTCAGCCTCCAAACTTCTGTTCACGTGACGTAGTCCTATGTGTGTACCCACGCTGGTAGCGTTATTTACGGCATCGCCACTAACCCAGGTCTGCTCATCATAATCTCGTACATCCTGTGTTATGGGATATTCATATGGGAATATCCAGCGGGTGTTTGACTTGTAAGATTATATAAAGCCCGGAGTCCTTGCCAAGCTGTCATTCCAATAATGAGTGTCAATCCGTACCGTCCGTCTTTCATTTGATCTTTTGTTATCACAACAGGCCTTTCACTTTGGAACACGTTACAACAGGCTCAGCATCACAAAGGTAAGCTCGCATTTTATTTCTTCGTAAAGCAATACCACAGTGGACAGTCCAGCTGGAGAGACTATATCAGACTTTAGTGGGTTAACAATCATTTAATAAAAACGTTGGAATTTCATAGAAGATTTAACATTAATCTCGCAATAGAACAAAAGTGGGACGCTTATCTCGCGTACGTGCACTACTGTAACATTGATTCACACTAAATATGTATAGCGCTAATGTCGTGTAAGTGGAATACAGATCATTTTTATTAGAGTAGTGCTAATTTTATGTGTAACCGTACGACATATATCCCGACATATAATACAGCGACCACTAAAGAGACATTTCAAAACCTGCCGTTTATTAATAGACAAGTCTTAGATCAGGGATGAAATTCAGGTTAGGGTAAAAAAATGTTAAAGAATTAGACGTTATGTTTCACGTTTACATGTTTAGTGTGTAGTTGCGTTGATATTCATTATTAGTCGCGCAAGGGAGTGTTATCATTATTATCTGAAAACAATCCCATTTTATGAATGGATACTTTGTCAAGAAAGACGCTAGCGTCTCCTTAATAATTTACATATAATGTGTAAGAGTGTGCTGCTACATGTAACTTTATGTTATTTTACAGATAATTTGTTTTCAAAAGGTATAGTCAGGTAACCATCAATATATAGTTTGATTTTAACATTTTGTTTTAGGCATCACGGAGGATTTTTTGGCATCTGAAGTCGCATTGTCTAAATATTTCACACACAAATATAATTAAGTGAGAACATATTTTGGAATAAGCAGCAATATATGATATATACATTTATAATAATAGATAATAATAGATAACTTTAAACAGTTTGCAAACGTCTCAAGAATGGTTGGTTTAATAAGTGTTCCTTTCAGTGAGGCGATTTCAGATGCAAATTATGTTTTGGCAGTAGCCGCTGACCAACATGTCACATCACGGATCACATTGAAATGACGTCTCATAACGCCAGACGACATGATACATGTACTGAATACTTTGTTCATTCCATATTCAGCATTTAAAAGAAAAAGTAGTTTTTGACATTTTGGGTGTCACTTGGGTGCACCTATGTATAGAACTAATGGCTCTTCTGTATAGAGTACATAACTTTTAAACGTAAAGTTAGGAGATAAATTAGAGCTCACTACTGGCACAATCAATATCAAATATTGGCCTTAACATCAATATAAAAAGTATCGTATACGGGGAAATGTGTGCCGCAGTTTAATTTTCGCCTTTTGTTGTCCATCGTAATGGAGGCGAATTTATCATTACTGCGAACATTAGTAAACACCAATATGTGCAAAGCAATTAAATACGCAGTCATCTAGTGTGCATAAAATGTGGAAGAAAACTGACAACATGAGCTGATAACGCTAAATGAAGTCCTTTTCTTTTAGATAAAAGCGAATGACATTCTGCTACCATTAGCCCTCAAATACTGGGTCGCGGGTCCGAGACCTACGTGGGACATTCGCCAGGTACTGGTCGTAAGTCGGTGTTTTTTCTCCGGGAACGCCGGCTTTCCTCCGCCATCAAAACCCTGACACGTCCTTAAATTACCATAGTTGTTAATAGGACGTAAACCACAAACTAACCATGTTTTATCTGTCTTGTTTGATGGGTATTCTATTGTAGTATATGTAACACGCACCTTTGTATTGTTATATTTTTTATAGACAACACAATAAATACGCGTCGGTATGATTCTTTGTACGAATAGTTAATTTAGGTTAACTATGATGATCAGATCATTTGAATGGTGATGATCATAATCCTGATGTTAGGATGGTGATGCTAATGTCGATTTTCAGTGAACTTTCAGACTTTTTCCTGAATACAACGAACACGCCTTACTGTTTACAACGCATTCCTGATTTAGCGGGAAATCTTTCTCGTCAACGATTCACTAAAAAACAACAATAATTATCATAAAACTCAATGAAAAACATGAACTTCAATTTCACGATCGTCAAGTTTCTTCGGCATTATATACATGTATATGATATAGAGGATATATAATGGTGTCTTCAGTAATACCAAATATATTTGTTATTACTGAAGACACCATTACATTTTCTTTTATTGCATTTTTAAGGCATAAAACATGAAAATTGTAATGCATTAAAAAAGGGCGGGAATCAGAAGAGTAAGAATTAGTGTCATATTCTAATGACGTCATGCTTGACAATAAGGCTGCGCGACATTTCGAATGGGATACTCAACTCCGATGTTTTCAGCTATTTCTGGTATGATTGCTTATAAAATGTTAATAATTGTATATTTATGTAAATACTTAAGTGTGTGTACCAAACATTTACCATAACAACCACTTGTTCTAACGTCGCTTCATATGAATCTGAACAAAAAATCGTTGCCTTTGAATGCATCGAATGGAAGATACCGTTATGATTGGTCAATACCAAAAGGTGATATTTTCACACTGTGAAAATATCACTTTTGATATTTATCACAGTGTGAAAGATATCAGTTTTATCAAGTTGATAGGCATATACCGTATTTGATTGGCTTGTGTAACGTCTCTTTTAGCTACTTGTTTCAAGACGTTTTGTAACCGTCCATATAAGTACTGCTTAACACAGGATTACAACTGCGTTCGACCAAACGGAGAACATCTTACACTCATCTTCGAACAACTGTAAGATTTCAGTATCTGTTTGATTTCGATAAAAGAACTCGTTATGGTTATCCCATGGGAATAAACGTAAGTGTTTTCTTCCGAACCACCGTAACAACGTAATGACGCCAGTCATACATTGTAGATGTCCTCTGATTTTGATTTTCCTGTTTTTATTCGCCCGTCAAAAATTCCAACGGGACGTAATATGAAATGGGAAGCGCCGTCCGTCCATACTTTGGTCTCCGCAAGGTCACATGCTTAACTATTGTTCAGTTTTTATGAAACTTAGTATGCACGTACATTATATGAAGCCTTCATCACTATTCAGAACTATTTCTCACTTCTACGGAGTAGTACAGTACATAATTGGTCTTTTCCCTTTACGTCTACATATGTTTATGCTTTGAGATACAAGCATGAACCAGAAGGATTTTAAGCATGTCATATTGGCTTATAGAGACCCGGCGTCTATTGTTCCATCCTGTGGTACTTTTTTCATTTTAATAACCGCCTATTGGTTTCATTTCTGTTTTTGCACAAAAAGAGAAAATGCGTATATTTTCTGAAGGTCCTTTTTTCATCAACCAGGTTCTGTTGGGAGATATCTTCAAAAAGAGCCGGCATTAAACCGATAGGTCTATGTGTACATTTATTTGTTCATCGTCTAAAATTTCATCAGCTTTTGATTTCCATTTGTTGAGAATATGAACATCACAACTCATAAAAGAAACAATTGATAATGTATTTATGTCGAAATCCACAATGATTTTTAGACCACCAACCCCATTTCAACGCCCTTTTTCAGCAACATATTACTTTTTCACAACGCGTGTGTTTTATTGTTATTCCTCGACTTACCGACTTTAAATAAAGTTTATTTTATCTTATACTGAAATCAGTAATATCTCATTCTGAATCAGTAAAATCAGAAATCAACAAAAGCAACGCTCATTTCAGGCTTTGCCATTCCATATCACTATTGATTTCCCAGGTAATATTGGGAGTTTTTATTAACATTTGTTGCTATTTGAAGTCCGCTTCAACACTGAATCGAGGTTGGAGTTGTTGACATGATAACTTGCCTTACAGATTATACAGACTAATTTCCCAGAGGGTGTCCTAATCATTGTAGGTTTCCAGATCCGTATTAGCTTCCTTTGTATGAAACATGTTTTGTTTACGACAAACCTCCGTATCGCCCGTATTTTAAGACAATTTTCAGCCGATTTGTAATTATTTGCCGTCCTTGTGACGGATATGAAAATCAAGGTTTAACGAGTGAGAGTCAATTCTATTGCAAAATATTGGGAAATCAAACAAACAGAAGCAATAAAAACACATTCATGTTTTACATGCTGAGGTACTTTTAACGAAAAGGACAATATTTTCGCCAAATTATATTTTACATTTGATTTGTCATATCCTTGATTTTGATATCATCTTTAAAATTGCTATCTTTACAAATTTGCATTAAGAGTTATTATTTAAAAACGTGTCTATGTTGAATTCATAAGGCACGTTCATGCTTTGTTTCTATCATAGAAGGAAATCTGACTATAATCTAATATCAATCGAGATACGATAAAAAGTATTTCTTTTTAAAACGGTTTTATATAGAACAATGTGAGGTTTAATCAGCATATAAACGAATACAAAATGTATTGTTAGAAGTTTTTTTTATCCTGACGAAGTTTATCTGCAAATATACAGCATGTTTTTACACGAAGAAAGGTTAATTTTGTCATTGAAAATGATGCATGTACGTATTATAACAGACAAAAATGATTATCAAAAACCAACAATAAGGAGACTGCTGTTGTTATTACAGTAAGAAATATTGACCTCTCTATATGGCTTTAAAGAAGTCTAGTGTCGGAAAAGGGCTTTTCTTGTCTTTGTTAAGAGGTAAATACTATAGAGTAGTGCTATTCCTTGATACCAAGAAACTTTATACGTTTGCCAGCAGGACAGTTAAGGACTGATTTATAATTTACTTAGAATACTGTTTTGGTAAGATATATTGACAGGTGTGCAATGTTGACTGATTAGTGAAAAAGTTGAATGTGATTTTGCCAGAAAAGCAGGTATCAAATTTGAATAAGTTATGCATCGACTGGTATTGCTTATGAGTTCAATTAAGAGCATTTACTTACCTAAATAAGTAACAAGCAAGGTTTTTAGGTCACAAGGACGGTTCAATACGTTTCGATTGCTATGATATAGATGTATTTTTGACGTCCTATTAACAGTATATGACGCGCCTCCATGTTGTAATATTTCCGTCCATGTGTGGTGCAGGTGCTGTGTGTTCTACGCTAAGGTTAATTGTCAGGTATGGCCAAGGAAGGTGCT